TCAGAAGCGAGCGGAGGGCGCCCATTGGCCCTCCCGAGGCGCAGGAGCGTTCTGATTGGCTGAAAGCTGAGGTGGGCCGCCAAGCCTCCTCCCAGCTGTTCCAGCCTCAACCAATCAGCGTCAAGCCGGCCGGCAAGGGGCGGCAGGAGTTTCAAACTGCTTTCTTTTGTCCTGTACTGTATAAAAATGCCTGAAATCTTTGCATCTGTATGCTTGCAGTGGAATGATTCCTGTAATGCATCTGATCTCAGCTGAATCACAATAAACCTCGGTTGCTGAAAAGAAACTTCTTCCACTTGGATGAGGCATTATTATTTATAATATTTTTACTCTTTGGATTGGCTCTCGCTGGCCTCACCAAGGGACCCAGAGCCCTTTAGGCGCGGTCCTCGGGTTTCTCTCTCTCAAGGAGACCCTGCTAAAAGCAGCTCGATATCAATAAGGTGGTCTGTGTGCCAAGTTTGGTCCAGCTCCATCATTCGTTGGGGTTGCTGTGGTCTCTGGAAATGAGGGACGGTACTGCAAATCCCATCATCCACGATCGAGATCCTCCCTCAAACCGAACTGGGACGTAAAGTAGGTCATAAGGTGGTCTGTGTGCAAGTTTGATCCAGGCCCGTCATTCGTGGGGGTCGCAGTGGTCTCTGGAAGTGAGGGAAGGTACTGCAAATCCCATCATCCATGCTCCATCCTCCCTCAAAACACACTAGGACGTAAAGTAGGTCATGGGGTGGTCTGTGTGCAAGTTTGGTCCAGGCCCGTCATTCGCGGGGGTCGCAGTGGTCTCTGGAAGTGAGGGACGGTACTGCAAATCCCATCATCCATGATCCAGATCCTCCCTCAAACCACACTAGGACATAAAGTAGGTCATGGGGTGGTCTGTGTGCAAGTTTGATCCAGGCCCGTCATTCGTGGGGGTTGCAGTGGTCTCTGGAAGTGAGGGAAGGTACTACAAATCCCATCTATCTGACTCCTACCTTGGAAATGTTTAAAGAGGGGCTGGATGGCCATCTGTCGGGGGTGCTTTGGTGGTGCCTTTCCTGCACGGCGTCATAGGGCTGGACTAGATGGCCTTTGTGGTCTCCTCCAACTCATGTGGGAACTCTTCCCAAGTGTCCCGGAGTGGTGTCCCGGAATGGAGCCCCATTGCCCTGGCTCAGCTAGGCCTTGGCCCCCAACCTGGCTGCTGTGTCCTTGGGCTGGAGAGCAAGGCTATTTCCATCCCATGACTCACTCCTTCCTTGTATTCCAGCTCCTTTCCCAAATCCCAATGGAAATGGCAGAAGGGCCAAGGAAACACCAAGGCAACAAATCATGGGGAGAGGTCCAAACCAAGTCTTCCTATCCTATCTACATCCGCAGGCGGGGAGGGGCTCTTTCCAAAGGCAATGAGAAACCGGATCGAAGGAGGAACGGAGGCGCAGAGCTATCAGGGATCGTTTATAGGACTGCCTACGATATATACAAAGAAGAGAACTAGACCAAGGTTCAGCCATGGGCCAGTCACACTCTCTCAACCCCAGAAAACCCTCGGTTGGGGTCGGCAGGAACACGGCAACAGCAGCAACACCGGAAATATACAAAGGGAAACCCCACTCGCACCCGCACCAGGAAACACACAATCCCACCCATCCCCGTTGCTCAGATCTTGATCTCGGTCCGGAACGTCTGCTGGAGCGTCTGCTGCTGATCGGGGGGTCGGGCCGGGCGCTTGCGGGCCTTGACCGTCAGGGAGCCGTCGGGGCCCAAGGTGGAGGTCACCGAGGCCGGGTCCATGTCCTCTGGCAGTTGACACTTGTGGGTGAAGGTATTCATGATGGTCCCATCCGAGGCCAGCTGAACGAGGGAGGAGAGTAGAGCTCAGTGGAGGTTACAACATGAGGAACTGTATTAAGGGGTCACGGCGTGAGGAAGGTTGAGAAACACCGTGCTAGGGCTTACTTTCCAGTTAGGTCAATGGTTCTCAACCTGTGGGTCACATCCCCTTAGGGGTTCAAACAACCCTTTCACAGGGGTCGCCTACGACCATCTGAACAATCTAGCAGCATTTTCTCTTGACATTTCGCCTACATCTGTGGCTAAAGGCATTTTCAGAGGAACCGATGGTAGCCAAGTCAAGATTATGTACTCCACTTGCTAATCAGTGGGATCTTAAGCCCTGCTATTAGAAAACTTGGTGGACTAAGAGTGGTAGATGTGCTCTCCATGTGGGGAGATTTTCACCCCTCTAGTCCCAAAACTGAGGCGAAGGGGAGCCTGGGAAGGGCCGAGGAAACACCAAGGCAACAAATTATGGGGAGAGGTCAAAACCAAGTCTTCCTTCCTTGCTTCACATCCTATCTATCTACATCCGCAGTGAGGGAGGGGATTTTTCCAAAGGCAATAAGAAACCGGATTGAAAGTGGAACGGAGGTGCAGAGCTATCAGGGATGATTTATAGTACTGCCAACTATATATACAAAGAAGAGAACCAGACCAAGGGAAGGCCACCCATGTTGGCCAATGGTCCGAATTTTTTTTTTCCATTTGGACGAAAGAACAAAATTGTCAGGAGTCAATTTCTAACAGTAAAGATATCACAAATTCCCTCTGTGACATCCTGACTGAATCAGTTCTCTCTGTGACGTTCTGAATCCAGCAAAGGGTGCTGGAAACCTTGTATTGGAACTTGTGAAGCAACAAGTTCTAATAAGGAAACTGAGAAGAGGTGGAGATGGGCAGCAAAGGTGTATAAAAGGAAGTGATGGTGGGAAAAAGTCAGTAGTGTCTTTCTTTGCTGCAGAGATATAAGCAATATATCCATTTCAAAGCAAAACCGGCTTGTGAGTGGTTATTTAATATTGCTACTTAGATCCTACAGACTGACCGAAACGGCTCATTCGGAAAGGCCGCCGTTTTCGGAATCGGCACTCGGAAACGAAAACTGGGCCATACAAATGAGACAAACGGAAACGGATAATGATTCTGTACAAAAGCACAAGACTAACTGATACTGAAGTCAGTCACCAGGGGAAGGGGAGAGGTGTGTGTGTGACTCACCTTCTCGGCATGGACCTCAATCTGGTTTTTGGAGGTGGTGATGATGATGTCCTCCGGGGAGAAGTCGCTGACGTCCACCGCAAACTGGTAGGTGTCCCCCAGAGTCTTGATGTTCCCCGTCCCTCCGGCGCGTCCTGTGGAGAGACAAAGTTAGCAAGGCATGAAGTCCATCTATCCATCTAAGAGGCCTCCAAGGACAGGCAACTAGAGCAACCACGCTTCTCCTGCCTCTCGTCCGCACACCCAGGAGGCCCTTTCCTCAGCCGGAGGTCAACCTAGAGACCGACAGTAATGCTATTCTAGACCTCATCTTCACACCAAGGGTGCCTTGCTTTCACCTCTTCCCTCCGAGTCCTTCCTCCTTTTGTGTCGTGTCTCTCATGGGATTCTCAAGGGCAGAGGACCTTTTTTTGGCTAAGAATGGAACCAAGCAAAATGCTTTATGTGAATGTTTCTCAACCTGGAAATCGGGACTCCGGGGGTGGGGGTTCCAAGGCGGGGGGTATCAGAGGGATCGTCAAAGACTATCAGAAAACATGGGTGTTTTGTGTGGGAAGTTTGGCCCAATTTGATCACTGGTGGGGTTCAGAATGCTCTTCTGAAATAAATCCCATCATTGTTTGAGTCCACCATACTCTCTAGATGTAGGTGAACTACAACTCCCAAACTCAAGGTCAATACCCACCAAACTCAAGGTCAATGCCCACCAAACCCTTCCAGTATTTTCTCTTTGTCGTGGAAGTTCTGTGTGCCAAGTGCAGTTCAATTCCATCGTTGGTGGAATTCAGAATACTCTTTGATTGTAGGTGAACTATAAATCCCAGCAACTACAACTCCCAAATGTCAAGGTTTATTTCCCCCAAAGTCCACCAGTGTTCACCCTTGGGCATATTGCGTATTCATGCCAAGTTTTGTTCGGATCCATCATTGTTTGAGTCCACAGTGCTCTCTGGATGGAGGTGAACTACAACTCCCAAACTCAAGGTCAATGCCCACCAAACTCTTCCAGTGTTTTCTGTCAGTTGTGGGAGTTCTGTGTACCGCGTATGGTTCAATTCCATCGTTGGAGGAGTTCAGAATGCTCTCTGATTGTAGGTGAACTATAAATCCCAGCAACTACAACTCCCAAATGTCAAGGTCTATTTCACCCAAACTCCACCAGTGTTCACATTTGGGCATATTGAGTATTCGTGCCAAGCTTGGTCCAGATCCATCATTGTTTGAGTCCACAGTGCTCTCTGGATGTAGGTGAACTACAACTCCCAAACTCAAGCTCAATGCCCACCAAACCCTTCCAGTATTTTCTGTTGGTCATCGGAGTTTTCTGTGTGCCAAGTTCGGTTCAATTCCATTGTTGGTGAAGTTCAGAATGCTCTTTGATGGTAGGTGAACTATAAATCCCAGCAACTACAACTCCCAAATGTCAAGGTCTATTTCCCCCAAACTCCACCAGTGTTCACAGTTGGGCATATTGAGTATTTGGGCCAAGCTTGGTCCAGATCCTTCATTCTTTGAGTCCACAGTGCTCTCTGGATGTGGGTGAACTACAACTCCAGTATTTTCTGTGAGTTCTCTGTGTGCCAAGTTCGGTTCAATTCCATTGTTGGTGAAATTCAGAATGCTCTTTGATGGTAGGTGAACTATAAATCCCAAATGACAAAACCAATCCCCCTGAACCCCACCAATATTCAAATTGGGGTGTATTGGGTATTTGTGCCAAATTTGGTCCAGCAAATGAAAAAACATCCTGCATGTCAGCTATTTACATTATGATTGATAACAGGAGCAAAATTAGAATTATGGAAGTAGCAACGGAAATGATGTTATGGTTGGGGGTCACCACCACATGAGGAACTGTATTAAGGGGTCACGGCATGAGGAAGGTTGAGAAACACCGTGCTAGGGCTTACTTTCCAGTTAGGTCAATGGTTCTCAACCTGTGGGTCGCGTCCCCTTAGGGGTTCGAACAACCCTTTCACAGGGGTCGCCTACGACCATCAGAAACAATGGAAATACATCCTACATATTACGATTCAAGAACAGGAGCAAAATTACAGTTACGAAGTAGCAACGAAAATAATGTTATGGTTGGGGGGTCACCACAACCGGAGGTCGCAGCGTTAGAAAGGTTGAGAAACACTGATCTAGATCAGTCAATCAAGTTTCCAATATGGCGATGAAAATGATTCTTGTATTGGGTTGTTGTAGGATTTTTCGGGCTATAAGGTCGTAGTCTAGAGGCAGGGGCGGCGCAACCATTACGCAAAGTAAGCCTTCGCGGTATAGTTGCTTTTGCTCAGGGGCGCTCTTGGGGGAAAATAGACCTTGACATATGCGAGTTGTAGTTACTGGGATGTATAGTTCACCTCTGCACCCCTGGCAAAAAAATTTTGCCCAGACCTTGACATATGCGAGTTGTAGTTACTGGGATGTATAGTTCACCTACAATCAAAGAGCATTCTGAACTCCACCAATGATGGAATTGAACCAAATATGGCACACAGAACTCCCACGACGAACAGAAAATATATATCAGTGATTGGTTGGGGGGGGGGGGCAAAATACTATTTGCTTACCATTGAAAATTACCTAGGGCCACCTCTGACTCCCAGCATCTATGGCAAGCATCCTCAGAGGTAAGTGAGGATGCTTGCCATAGATGCAGGCGAAACGTCAGGAGAGAATGCCTCTAGACCATGGCCATATCATAGAATCAAAGGGTTGGAAGAGACCTCATGGGCCTTCATCCAGTCCAACCCCATTCTGCCGAGAAGCAGGAATATTGCATTCGAATCACCCCTGACAGATGGCCATCCAGCCTCTGTTTAAAAGCTTCCAAAGAAGGAGCCTCCACTACACTCCGGGGCAGAGAGTTCCACTGCTGAACGGTTCTCACAGACAGGAATATAGCCCGAAAAAAACTACAACAACCCAGTGATTCCGGCCATGAAAGCCTCCGACGATTCTTGTATTATTACGAGTGGCTTTGTTCCCACTTGCCTGAGAAGCTGAGGGGCTCGTTGCAGGTCCGCATGAAGCCCCCGAGGTTGTCGCCAAAGAGTCCGCGGGCCTTCTCCATGGGGCGAAGTTCAGACGTGAATTCGGAGAGAAGACAGCTGGAGCCTGGGCGTAGGGACAAAGGTCTGCAAGGACAAAGAGTGGAACAACGGAGGACTCCGTGTGCCAAGGGAACCCAAACTTGTTTATTCCCAACAATGATGCCGTGCTCTCCCCGGAAGCGTCGCTCTGGCCGCTCTGTGCCTGCATCAGAGGCTTTTAAGGGACCCCCCCCCCCGCCCCGACCCAGGCCGGCCTGCCTCTCCCTCTCTTCACTGGGCAGCCGTCCAGGATTCTTGTCCAGTTCGGGACCTATATTTAGGGCACTATGGCTCTTGTGCGGAGGCTGCCCCCAAAACAAACAGCGGGGACAGAGAGCCAACATTCCTGCCTGCTTCCATAATCGCCGCTGTGTCCCGGGAGGCTTGGCACGCTGCGTTTTCCCAAAAAAGAAGCGTGAGCGAGCGAGTGAGCGAGTGCGCAAGTCGGTATCTCTTGTGCAAATGGCCCCAAAGTGGAAAATGTCAGGCTTGCCAGGAACACAGTCATGCCTTCATCGCTCTAACTTCATCGCTTCTCAACCTTCCCAGTACGGTTCCTCATGTTGTGGTGACATTATTTTCGTTGCTACTTCATAACTGATTGACTTTGTCATTTGGGACTTGTAGTTGCTGGGATCTATAGTTCACCTACAATCTAAGAGCATTCGGAACTCAACCAACAATGGAATTGAACTAAACTTGGCACACCGAACTCCCATGCCCAACAGAGTTTGGTGGGCATTGACCTTGAGTTTGGGAGTATTTATAGTTCACCTACAATCAAAGAGCATTCTGAACTCCACCAATGATGGAATTGAACCAATTTTGGCACACAGAACTCCCAAGTCCAACAGAAAATACTGGAAGGGTTTGGTGGACATTGACCTTGAGTTTTGGGAGTTGTAGTTCACCTACATCCAGAGAACACTGAGGACTCAAACAATGCTGGATATGGACCAGACTTGGCACGGATACTCAGTATGCTCAAATGTGTACACTGGTTGAGTTTGGGGAAAATAGACCTTGACATCTGGGAGTTGTAGTTGCTGGGATTTATAGTTCACCTGCAAACAAAGAGCAGTCCGATCTTCTCCAACGATGGAATTGAACCATGCTTGGTACTTGAAATAAATAAATAAATAAACACTGCTGGAGGTTGGGGAAATAGACCTTGACATTTGGGAGTTGCAGTTGCTGGGATTTATAGTTCACCTGCAAATAAAGAGCAGTCTGATCTCCTCCAACGATGGAATTGAACCATACGCGGTACACAGAACTCCCACAACTGACAGAAAACACTGGAAGAGTTTGGTGGGCATTGACCTTGAGTTTGGGAGTTGTAGTTCACCTCCATCCAGAGAGCACTGTGGACTCAAACAATGATGGATCCGAACCAAACTTGGCATGAATACTCAATATGCCCAGATGTGAACACTGGTGGAGTTTGGGGAAAATAGACCTTGACATTTTGGGAGTTGTAGTTGTAGGGATTTATAGTTCACCTACAATCAAAGAGCAGTCTGAACTCCATCAGAGATGGAATTGAATTGGCACATAGAACTCCCATTACCAACAGAAAATACTGGAAGGGCTTGGTGGACATTGACTTTGAATTTTGGAGTTGTAGTTCACCTACATCCAGAGAGCACTGTGGACTCAAACAATGATGGATCTGAACCAAACTTGGCACAGAATACTCAATATTCCCAAATGTGAACACTGGTGGAGTTTGTGGAGAATAGACCTTGACATTTGGGAGTTGTAGTTGCGGGGATTTATAGTTCACCTACAATCAAAGAGCATTCTGAACTCCACCAATGATAGAATTGAACCAACTTGGCACACAGAACTCCCACGACAAAGAGAAAATACTGGAAGGGTATGGTGGGCATTGACCTTGAGTTTTGTGGGTATTGACCTTGAGATTGGGATTTGTAGTTAACCTACATCTGGAGAGTATGGTGGACTCAAACAATGATGGATATGGACCGAACTTGGCACGAATACTCAATAGGCCCAAATGTGAACTCTGGTAGAGTTTGGGGAAAACAGACTTTGCCATTTGGGAGTTGTAGTTGTTGGGATTTATAGTTCAACTACAATCAAAGAACATTCTGAACTCTTCCAATGATGGAATTGTACCAAACTTGGCACACAGACTCCCACGACCGACGGAAAATACAGGAGGGGTTTGGTAGGCACTGACCTTGAGTTTGAGAGTTGTAGTTCACCTGCATCCAGCGAGCCCAATGACATTGATAACCCAGGAACAAAAACCATGTTACATAGTGCAACAACAACAACAAGAGCCTCTCTCTCCCCGAAGCCTCCGCCCATGTAAGGCTGCATACCTCCACTTACCCATTTCCAGGCTCGATGCCAAGCCAGGCTGTGTGCTGCCGGGAATGTGCCCGGTGGGTCCTGGGGAGGGCGGCATAGGCGAGCACAGTCACCCTATGACTTGTAGGCAGCAAGCGAGGGGGGCCGGAGGCACCACACAGTCCGGCCAGGCCCTCGCCCCAGGAGCCGGGTCGGAGCTATATGCGGCCGCTGGCTCACCTCCTGCGCATGGCATCGCATTGCATGGCACGGCAGAGACACGGCTGAGTCACGTTTGGTTCCCGGAGGCCAGCCGGATGACCCTCAAGCCGGCCAGGGTCACACCCAAGGCCCCCCTCCCTGAAAGAGCCCCCTGGCAGCAAAGGTCATTGTCAATGCTGTTGGAAAAAGCATTGTTATGTATATAGTTCAGATGGCTTATTATATTGTAAGTATGCTGATGATAACGTAGTCCATGCACATTCAGAAGGAGACCTGCATCTGTCATAGAGTCCCAATATTGCTGCTGATAACACAGTCTGTGCACATTCAGAAGATCTACAATGTCTGTGCATTCAGAAGAAGACCTACAACGTCTATGCCGATGATAAGGCAGTCTATGCTCTTCCACATCAAGACTTACAATGTCTATTATAGAACTCCAATATGCCAATGATAACACAGTCTACGCTCTTTCACAAGAAGACCTACAATGTCTATTATAGAACTCCAATATGCCGATGGTAATGCAGTCTGTGCTCTTTCAGAACAAGACCTACAACGTCTCTTATAGAATGCCAATATGCTGATGATAACCCAGTCTATGCACATTCAGAAGACCTGTTATAGAACTCCAATATGCCAATGATAATGCAGTCCGTGCGCATTCAGAAGACCTACAATGTCTGTTACAGAACTCCAATATGCCGATGATAATGCAGTCTGCACACATTCAGAAGAAAACCTACAATGTCTCTTATAGAACATCAACATGCCGTGATAACCCAGTTTATGCGCATTCAGAAGACCTACAATGTCTGCTATAGAACTCCAATATGCTGATGATAATGCAGTCTGTGCTCTTTCAGAACAAGACCTACAATGTCTCTTATAGAACACCAATATGCCAATGATAACCCAGTCTATGCACATTCAGAAGACCTACAATGTCTGTTATAGAACTCCAATATGCCAATGATAACACAGACTGTGCTCTTTCAGAACAAGACCTACAACATCTATTACAGATCTCCAGTATGCTAATGATCACATAGTCTTTTAGCATTCAGAAGAAGACCTAGGTCTGTTATAGAACTCCAATATGCTGATAATAATGTAGTCTGTGTGCATTCAGAACGAGACCTACAATATCTGTTATAGAACTCCAATATGCTGATGATAACGCAGTCTGTGCACATTCAGAAGAAGACCTACATCTGTTATAGAACTCCAAGACACTGATGATAATGTAGTCTGTGCACATTCAGAAGACCTACGTGTTACAGGACTCCAATATGCTGATAATAACGTAGTCTATGTGTTATAGAACTCCAATATGCTGATGATAGCGAGTGTGTGTGTGTATCAACTGTAAAATAAGATGCACAGAGCTGATTGCTTGGGCAATGTCTGGGAAGCAGGCTGAGCCTGGGACTTTTGGGTGCTGTTACCTTTTTGTTCAGGCTTCAGCTATGCAGGTGCTTGGAGCTGAAGAGAGAACGAGAAGCAGAGAGAGACAGAGTCATGAACTGCTGAGGCAGAGTGATCTTGTTTACTGTGAACTCATCTTGTGTATCCAATAATAATGGTGATGATGATAGACGCCTTCCTTGCACGACGAGAAAGGGGCCCAATGTGGAGGACCCCCGTTTGCCCCCTTTGCTAACCCAGAGCCCTTCCTTGCTGCCTGGACCACTTCTGAGCCCTGGTGGCCAACTGCCATGCGGGCTGGGCTTCCTCCCATTAGGAGCCAGTTGCTGCCTTTGCCGACCAGTTCCATCCAGCGTGGGGCTGTCCGCTCGCTCTCAAGGGCGTCTTGGCAGGCCCATGGTTGGAGGTCACAGAGGAGGAGCGGGAGAGCACAGGTGTGTGTGCATTACCTGGCCAAAAACACAGGTGCCGAAAAGGAGGAGGAACCGCCCGACGACAACAGAGCGAGCTCTCCTTGTTGCCCTTGGGACCCCGGCCTTCGAGAAGGGAATTCGGGTTGCCAGAAGAAGACCAGGAAAGGCAGGGCTTGAGTACAAGGAGACCCCCGGAGAGGTTCGCTGTGGGGCAAGGAGGGCCATTTCCACCTGAGGAAAATCCCAGGGTCCAGGTAAGAGGAGAAAGCCAGGTAAACAAACGACATTCCTTTCACTTGCAAGCTGGGGACAACAGACAAGGGAGGGGCTGCCTCTGTTTTGGCTGCCCACCTCCACAGCCTCAGGCATTTGGCCTTCAAGGTTCTCCTTGTGTCCAACCACCCAGGGCAGGTCAAAGGAGGTCTCCTGGCTGCATTTGCACCTGCAATTCAGGTGTTGTCAAACGTCCAGGTGGGCCCAGGCTTACCCTTCCCTCCTGGATCTTGCATTCCGGGATCAGATCTATCGTGGGCGTTCGTGTACACCTTGGGGTGGTGGAGTGCTAAGCCCCTTGCTTGCTTTCCTGAGGCAGCTGAGCATCACTGCAGGCCCACAACAGAGTCTCCTGCTGTCGCTCCAGGCTCAGAAGACCAGGCGTCATGGCCACAGATGACCCACCAAAGGGCCGCCAAGGAAGAGGAGGCTCCGAGGACGAGGAGGCCACAAAGGTCCTGATTCTGGAGAAGGACTGGCAACCCTTCCCCAAAACCCGGAAGAAGGTCAGAGGTACGAGGCAGACTTCTGGTGGTGGGACTGGGCTTTCCTTCTGGGTCTGGAGATGCTCCCTTGGTGGACCTGTTGGCCGTGGGTCAGCTCCGGGCACCTTTCCTCCTCCTCCACCAAACCACCACCACCACTACCACTACCTCCTCCTCCACCACCTCCACCACCACCTCCACCACCACCTCCTCCTCCGTCACCTCCTCCTCCGTCACCTCCTCCTCCATCACCTCCTCCTCCACCACCTCCACCACCACCACCACCACCACCACCACCACCACCACCACCTCCTCCTCCTCCGTCACCTCCTCCTCCATCACCTCCTCCTCCACCACCACCTCCTCTACCACCACCACCACCACCTCCTCTACCACCACCTCCTCCACAACCACTACCTCCTCCACAACCACCACCTCCTTCACCTCCTCCTCCACCACCTCCTCCTCCACCACCACCTTCTCCACCACCACCTTCTCCACCACCACCTTCTCCACCACCACCACCTTCTCCACCACCACCACCGCCTCCTCCTCCACCACCTCCTCCACACCACCACCACCTCCTCCACCACCTCCTCCACCACCTCCTCCTCCACCACCTCCTCCTCCACCACCTCCTCCTCCACCACCTCCTCCTCCACCACCTCCTCCTCCACCACCTCCTCCTCCACCACCTCCTCCTCCACCACCTCCTCCTCCACCACCTCCTCCTCCACCTCCTCTTCCTCCTCCATCACCTCTTCCACCACCACCACCACCACCACCACCTCCTCCACCTCTTCCTCCTCCTCAGGTTGCCTGGCGTGCGTCAAGCGGCTGCTCTTCCGCGTTGGGGACGACTGGTACTTCCTCTTCGCCCTGGGTGTCCTCATGGCCCTGGTCAGCTTCGCCATGGACTTCACGGTGGCCAAAGTGGCCAATGGTAACTACTTCCCCGACTGGCCTCCTCCCCCATCATCAGGCCCTTCCATTGCTGCTTCAGGGTTGCCAAGGGTATTTTCAGACTTCCCCTGAAAATAAGACCATCTTTGGGAGCAAAAAGTAACATAAGACACTGTCTTATTTTCGGGAAAACAGGGTATTGATATTCTTCCCTTCTCCCTGAGCGGATTACAGTATATACACAGACACAAGCAAACATTCAGTGCCTTGCTACGATGACATACAATAAGACACAAAGACAGAGGCAAAGGCAAAGGCTTCTCTTTTCATTTCTGGCTCTGGGGGAGGTGCTTATTTCCATTCCCAAGCTAAGGACCCTGTGTTGTCAGGAGCTGGGGCTAACAGCGGGAGCTCACCCCATCCTGCAGATTTAAACCTTTTTCCACCTCTGCAGCTCACGCTTGGCTCTACCAAGAGGTGGGTCACTCTCCGTTCCTGAAGTACCTCTCCTGGACCATGTACCCCGTCGCCCTCTCGGCCTTCTCCACGGGCTTCGCCCAGAGCATCACCCCTCACTCCGGAGGTGGGTCTGAGTCTGCCTGGTGGGTGGGGGGCTCCACGAAGTCCCGAGTCCACCCGTCAGCCCTTGGTTCTGCGTTCCCTTCCTGCCAGGCTCCGGCATCCCTGAGCTGAAGACCATCCTCTCTGGGGTGATGCTGGAAGAGTACCTGGCCATCGAGAACTTTGGCGCCAAGGTGGTGGGACTCACCTGCACCCTGGCCTGCGGGAGCACCATCTTCCTCGGGAAAGTCGTAAGTGCCCCCAAGAGGCCACATCGAGGTCCAACAGCACCTGAATCTAGCCCTGTTAGTTGAATAGTCTGGCAGCTGCAATGTCAATCAGGGAGGGTCTCTGCAGAGAGGTCTGTTGGAAACGAGGCAAGTGGGGTTTTTATATATCCCTGTGGAATGATGTCCAGGGTGGGAGAAAGAAGTCTTCTCTGTTGGAGGCAAGTGTGAATGTTGCAATTAGCATTGAGTAGCTTGGCAGCTGCAAAGTCAATCAGTGAGGGTCTCTGCATTGAGGTCTGTTGGAAACGAGGCAAGTGTGGTTGATATATATCCCTGTGGAATGATGTCCAGGGTGGGAGAAAAAACTCTTCTCTGTTGGAGGCAAGGGTGAATGTTGCAATTAGCATTGAGTAGCCACAAAGCTGCAAAGTCAATCAGTGAGGTCTGTTGGAAACTAGGCAAGTGTGGTTTGTATATATCCCTGTGGAATGATGTCCTAGGTGGGAGAAAGAACTCTTGTCTGCTTGAGGCAAGTGTGAATGTTGCCATTGGCCAATTGAATAGCCTTGCAGCTGCAAAGTCAATCAGGGAGGGTCTCTGCGTAGAGGTCTGTTGGAAACGAGGCAAGTGGGGTCAATATTTATCCCTGTGGAATGATGTCCAGGGTGGGAGAAAAAACTCTTCTCTGTTGGAGGCAAGTGTGAATGTTGCCATTGGCTAATTGAATAGTCTGGCAGCTGCAAAGTCAATCAGGGAGGGCCTCTGCAGAGAGCTCAGTTGGAAATGAGGCAAATGGACTCTGCGAGTGTGTGTATCCCTGTGGAATGATGTCCAGGGTGGGAGAAAGAACTCTTGTCTACTGTAGGCAAGTGGGAATGTTGCCATTGGCCAGCTTGGCTAGTATTAAATAGCCTTGCAGCTACAAAGTCAATCAGTGAGGGTATCTACATAGAGGTCTGTTGGAAATGAGGTGTGTACTGTGTGTGTGTGTGTGTATCCCTGTGGAATGATGTCGAGGGTGGGAGAAAGAACTCTTGTCTGTCGGAGGCAAATGTTGCCATTGGCCAGCTTGATTCGCATTGAATAGCCTTGCAGCTTCAAAGCTTAACTGCTTCCTGCGACCGGTATTTAAAAAATCCTCTAAAACCAGGATAGTAAAAAAAGAATAACACTCAATAAGCAGAGGAATTCCAGACAAGAAACAATCAGGGCCAGCTCATCACCTTCCAATAAAGGACTCCCCCCAGGTAGGAAGCAGCAGTTGCAACATTCACATCTGCCAGACCTTCCACAGAGATATAAAACTCACTTGCTTAGTTTCCAACAGACCTCACAACCTCTGAGGATGCCTGCCCAGGTTTGAACTGTGAACCTTTCGATTGGCAAGACTTTCTGCAGCTCGTGATTTAACTCACTGTGCTAATTATGAGTATGAGTATGAGTATGGGTTATTTTCCAGCCCTCCCTTCCTCCTAGTGTCCACTCTCTTGCAGGGCCCCTTTGTCCACCTCTCCAGCATGCTGGCTGCTTACCTCGGGAAGGCCCGGACCAGCGTCTCCGGAGAATATGAGGTGAGGCCAGCAAGGCAAGTCCAGCTATAGAGCTGTCTCATATTGAGGCCTTCTCATACTGAGGCTTCTCTCATACTGAGGCAAACTAACACTGGAGCCGTCTCATTCTGAGGCTTCTCTCATACTGAGGCAAACTACCACTGGAGCTGTCTCATTCTGAGGCCTTCTCATACCAAGGCTTCTCTCATACTGTGGCAAACTAACACTGGAGCCATCACATACTGAGGCCTTCTCATACTGAGGCTTCCCTCATACTGAGGCAAACTACCACTGGAGCTGTCTCATTCTGAGGCCTTCTCATACCGAGGCTTCTCTCATACTGTGGCAAACTAACACTGGAGCCATCACATACTGAGGCTTCTCTCATAATGAGGCAAACTACCACTGGAGCTGTCTCATTCTGAGGCCTTCTCATACCGAGGTGTCTCTCATACTGTGGCATACTAACACTGGAGCCATCAAATACTGAGGCCTTCTCATACCGAGGCTTCTCTCATACTGAGGCAAACTAACACTGGAGCTGTCTCATTCTGAGGCCTTCTCATACTGAGGCTTCTCTCATACTGTGGCAAACTAATTCTGGAGCCATCACATACTGAGGCCTTCTCATACTGAGGCAAACTAACACTGGAGTCGTCTTATACTGAGGCCTTCTCATACCAAGGCTTCTCTCATACTGAGGCAAACTAACACTGGAGCCATCACATACTGAGGCCTTCTCATTCCAAGACTTCTCTCATACTGAGGCAAACTAACACTGGAGCCGTCTCATTCTGAGGCCTTCTCATACCGAGGCTTCTCTCATACTGAGGCAAACTAACACTGGGGTTGTCTCATTCTGTGGCCTTCTCATACTGAGGCTTCTCTGGGCATGGAGAGAATGCTGAGCAGCCCTTGCTCTTCCTTCCTTCTTTTCTTCCTTCCAGGATAAGAGCAAACAGAATGAGATGCTGGTGGCAGGGGCAGCTGTTGGCGTGGCAACCGTCTTTGGGGCGCCCATCAGTGGTAAGCAGGACCAGAAAGAACTACTTTACTTCCAGAGTAACCAAAACATGGGCAGCAGGAGCTGGTCAGAAGGAGGGGCATGGCTATGCTATCATGTCCCTGGCCACAGCGTGAAGGCTTTTATATAGAAGCTGGATGGCCATCTCTCAGGAATGCTTTGATTGTCATCTGCCTGCATGGCAGGGGGTTGGACTTGATGGCCTTTGGGATATCTTCCAACTCTATGATTTGCACTCTTTACAAAAACTAGGTTTCCATAACATGAAAAAAGTTCTTTATACTTTCTTTGCTTCAACGCTGGACTTCTTTCTCATACAGATAGATAGCTTCGCTCTCACAGAGTCTCTTCTCACACTGAACTTACACAGGAGCTTCACACAGTAGCCTTACACACAATGGCCATAATCTTGGGGCTTCCTCTTACCGAAGCTTCTCACATCAGGCCTTCATACACTGAGGCCTATTAACTCTGAGGCGTTCTCATACTGAGGCAAACTAACACTTGAGCCTTCTTTTCCTGAGGCCTTATCATACGACAATTCTCTCATATTGAGGCAAACACTGCTCTCATACGGAGGCAAACTAACAGTGAAGCTGTCTCATACTGAGGTCTTCTTATACTGAGGCTTCTCTCATATAGAGGCAAACTAACACTGGAATCGTCTCATACTGAGGCCTTCTCATACTAAGGCTTCTTTCATACCGAGGCAAACTAACACTGGAACGTTCTCATACTGAGGCCTTATCATACCGAGGTTTCTCTCATACCGATGCAAGCTAACACTGGAGCCGTCTCATACTGAGGTGTTCTCATACTAAGGCTTTTTTCATACTGAGGCAAACTAAAACTGGAGCAGTCTCATATTGAGGTCTTCTCATACCGAGGCTTCTCTCATACCAAGGCAAACTAACACTGGAACCCTCTTATACTGAGGCCTTCTCATACTGAGGTTTCTCTCATACTGAGGCAAACTAACACTGGAGCCATCTCATACTGAGGCTTCTCTCATACTGAGGCAACCTAACACTGGAACCTTCTTATACTGAGGCCTTCTCATACCGAGGTTTCTTTCATAGTGAAGCAAACTAACACTGGAGCCATCTCATACTAAGGCCTTCTCATTCTGAGGCTTCTCTCATACTGAGGCAACCTAACACTGGAACCTTCTTATACTGAGGCCTTCTCATATCGAGGTTTCTTTCATAGGGAAGCAAACTAACACTGGAGCCATCTCATACTAAGGCCTTCTCATACTGAGGCTTCTCTCATACTGAGGCAACCTAACACTGGAACCTTCTTATACTGAGGCCTTCTCATACTGCGGTTTCTCTCATACTGAGGCAACCTAACACTGGAGCCTTCTCATACAGTGTCCTTCTCATACTAAGGCTTCTCTCATACTGAGGCAACCTAACACTGGAACCTTCTTATACTGAGGCCTTCTCATACCGAGGTTTCTCTCATAGTGAGGCAAACTAACATTGGAGCCTTCTCATACAGAGTCGTTCTCATACTGAGGTTTCTCTCATACTGAGGGAAACTAACACTGGAGCCATCTCATACTAAGGCCTTCTCATACTGAGGCAACCTAACACTGGAGCCTTCTCATATAGAGTCCTTCTCATACTGAGGTTTCTCTCATACCAAGGCAAACTAACACTGAGGCATACCTAGTGACCTCCCTTCTGATTTCCCAGGAGTCCTCTTCAGCATCGAGGTGGTTTCCTCCCACTTTGCCGTCCGTGACTACTGGAGGGGCTTCTTCTCAGCCACCTGTGGGGCCTTCATGTTCCGGCTGCTGGCCGTCTTCAACAGCGAACAGGGTGAGTGAGGAGGCCCCCAAGCTGAGTCATGGAGCTGCTCAGAGTGTGAACCCTGCCTCCCCAAAACAAGCTCAAGTTCCTGCAAAGCCAGCCAAGACCTGGGGGCATTAACTGTACCGAGGAGGGATTCCCCATCTAGTATTGAGACTTATGGAAGGGCCATGCAAGGGGGGTTCACCTGTCCCCCTTTTGCCGCCGTTCCAGAGACCATCATGGCTATCTTCAAGACCAATTTCAAGATCGACTTGCCCTTCGATTTGCCCGAGACCTTCTTCTTCATGTTCCTAGGGTGAGGACCGTGCGTTGGGAGGAGAGGAAGGGGCTCAACATAAGGCCTTCGGGTGCCAACCCCTCTCTCTCCCCCCACTTTGCCTGCTTTGCAGGGCCGTCTGTGGGGTGGTCAGCTGCGCCTACCTCTTCTGCCAGCGCTGGCTCCTGGGCTACGTCCGGAGGAACAGGTTCACGGCCGCCCTCCTCGCGACAGAGTAAGCCTCTTCTACCATATGTGCTGGAAGGCATCATGAGGAAGGTCTACATCACACTGAGGCCTACCTCACACTGAGGCCTACCTCACACTGAGGCCTCCCTCACACTGAGGCCTCCCTCACACTGAGGCCTACTAACACTTCCTTTCTGTTTTACAGGAAGCCCCTTTACTCCGCGCTGGTGGCCCTTCTGCTCGCTTCCATCACCTGCCCTCTCAGCTTGGGGCAGTTCATGGCCTCCAGGGTAAAGATGGCCTCCTTGGGAGGAGCATGTTAGTTTTACAGGGGGACACTCTCTGGCCAATGTTTGGGATTGGGGGACGGATGGGATGGGATGGCCCATGAGGTCTCTTCCAACTCTATGATTCTATGATGGGATGGGATGGGATGGGACAGGACAGGACAGGAGGTCTCTCCCAACTCTATGATTCTGTGATGGGATGGGATGGGATGGGATGGGACGGGACAGGAGGTCTCTTCGAATTCTATGATTCTGTGATGGGATGGGACAGGAGGTCTCTCCCAACTCTATGATTCTATGATGGGACAGGATGGGAGGTCTCTTCCAACTCTATTATTCTATGATGGGACGGGATGGGAGGTCTCTTCCACCTCTATGATTCAATGATGGGATGGGATGGGATGGGACAACGAGGTGGAGAAGTGCCTCATAACCCATTCAGGGAAGCCAAAGTGGCTGAAGGAACATGCTTCTCCCTCACAGCTGAACATGAAGGAGCTCCTCACCTCCCTCCTGGACAACCACACCTGGGTCGTCCTTTCCCAGAATGCATCTCTGGCCAGGCCACTCCACGTTGACCCTTCCCAGCTGTGGCTTGAGTGGTGGGACCCCAACATCACCATCTTTGGCACTTTGGTGGTCTTCCTCGTGATGAAGGTACTCGGAGATCCCTCTGAATGTGTGGGGGGTCCATGACCTCCATCTAGTCATCACTGAAATGTGTTTGGCTTGAGGAGCACGTGGTCCCAGAGTCAATGTTTTCCTGGGGGTTCTTGGCAACTTTCCTAAAGGTTCTCAGGAGGGTGGGGGTGTTTGTGACCATTCAGTGGCAGTGCAGTCTTCCAGCCACAAGCCATGCGCCCTCGTCTTGCTCTTGCAGTTCTGGATGCTGACCCTGGCCACCACCATGCCCATGCCCGCTGGGTATTTCATGCCTGTCTTCATTTACGGTAAGTGGAACCCCCTGTGGCAGGACTGTGCTGGTAGGACTGGTCGACCAACAGGTTGACGGTTTGAATCTGGGGAGCGGGGTAAACTCCTGTGGGGACATGAGAGAAGCCTCCCACAGGTTGGTCAATCATCTGGGCAATGTCCCCTGGGCAACATCCTTGCAGACAGCTAATTCTCTCACACCAGTTTCTCAAGTCGCTTCTGACACGGAAAAAATATATTACGGTAAGTGCCGTACAGCAGGTTAATCACCAATAAATTGGAAGGTTGACTGTTCAAAACCAAGATCAGGGCGAGCGCCTGACCTTCAGCTCAGCTTCTGCCTACCTAGTGGTTTGAAAGCAAATGTGAGTAGATAAATAAGAACCACATTAAGCGGGGAGGTATTTTAGGCATGGCGTTTCCATCAGAAAAAGGAGGAAGTTTACAAACAAAGAAAGCTCTTTGGCAAAGAGATGTAGCAACAGCACCCTCCTGTGGCCAGAACCGAGCACAGCCTCCAAAAGATGCTGGACAATGAGAAAATGCCTATATATACCTCTATCCGTTGTCTGTTTTGTCATTGTATGGCCTTCAACCTGGGGCTTCCTCTCACAAAAGCTTCTCATACCAGGCCTTCACACACTGAGGCCTACTAACAGTGAGGCGTTCTCATACTGAGGTAAACTAACACTAGAGCTATCTCATACTGATGCCTTCTCACACCAGGTCTTCACACACTGAGGCCTACTAACTCTGAGGCCCAACTCACACTGAGTCCTACTAACAGTGAGGCATTCTCATACTGAGGCAAACTAACACTAGAGCTGTCTCATACTGATGCCTTCTCACACCAGGTTGTCACACACTGAGGCCTACTAACTCTGAGGCCCAACTCACACTGAGTCCTACTAACAGCAAAGCGTTCTCATACTGAGGCAAACTAACACTAGAGCTGCCTCATACTGATGCCTTCTCACACCAGGTCTTCACACACTGAGGCCTACTAACTCTGAGGCCCAATTCACACTGAGTCCTACTAACAGTGAGGTGTTCTCATACTGAGGCAAACTAACACTAGAGCTGTCTCATATTGATGCCATCTCATACCGAGGCTTCTTTCATACTGAGGCAAACTAACATTGGAGCTGTCTCATACTGAGGCCTTCTCATACTGAGGCTTCACTCATACTGAATGTTTGCTGTATGTGTGTTCTGTGAGAAGGGCGGAATATAAGTATGGCGCCGGGCTTTAGCGCAGCTGGTAAATCACCAGCAATGATAAGATCTCCCAAGCAGAAGGTTGCCAGTTCGAAGCCCTGGGTCGGCATGAGCTCCTGACTGTCAGCCCAGCTCACTGTTGACCTAAGCAGTTCGAAAAAAGCTGTAAGTAGAGAAATTAGATACCACTTAAAACAAGCAGGGGAGGGAGGTATTTCAGGACACCATAAAGAAAAAGATCAGAAAATGCCCAGCAGTCAAAAGGAAGGAGGAAGTCCTGATGGCTCTTTGTCATAGAAGATGGAGCGACAGCACCCCCACGTGGCTGGATTTGAGCACAACCTTCCAAGGAGCCAAAAAGCTGGATGTTGACACAACATACCTCCTTTGTGTTCTGTTTGTTCCTGTCCTGTCTATCCAAAGTGTGATCTACCCTGTGTCCCCTTGTTGTTGTTGTTATATTACTGTAAGTAAATAAATAAATTCACAGGGGGGACCCACTTTTCTCTCTCCCCCACCCTGAAATATAGGAGCTGCCATTGGGCGCCTGGTGGGGGAAGTGGTTGCCGTCCTCTTTCCACAAGGGATCGTCTCTGAAGGGCTGGTCAGCCCTGTTACGCCCGGGGCCTATGCCTTGGCAGGTGAGTCCGCAAGGCTGGGATGGGGGAGAGAGGGTCAGCAGGAACCAAGCTCTGCCCCATAGCGAGGGCAAGGACTTCATAGCCTCTCGCCTTCCCCCCTTCTTGCCTCAGGGGCAGCGGCCTTCTCCGGGGCGGTCACCCACTCGCTCTCCACGGCTCTGCTGGCCTTTGAGATGACCGGGCAGATCTCCCACATCCTGCCAGTCATCCTGGCTGTCCTGGTGGCCAACGCCATCGCCCAGAAGTTCCAGCCCTCCTTCTACGACGGCACCATCATCGTCAAGAAGCTCCCCTACCTGCCCCGCATCCGCAGCCGCCACATCGGGTGAGGAGGGCGGCCTACTCCTCACATTTGGGGAAAGGGAGGCTGCCATACATCGAGGGGAGACGGCACTCTGCCCAAAGTTTCTCTTACTCCAGATAGATCAGGCATGGGCAAATTTTGGCCCTCTAGGTGTTTTGGACTTCAACAACATGGGTATGCAGATGATCCCTTGATTCTGAAATGTCCACTTCCAGGAGGACAAAGACATGGGCCAACTTTGGTCCTCCCTCCAGGTGTTTTGGACTTGAACTCCCACAACATGTATATGCAGATGATCCACTTCCAGGAGGACAAAGGCATGGGCCAACTTTGGCCCTCCCTCCAGGTGTTTTGGACTTGAACTCCCACAACATGGGTATGCAGATGATCCCTTGTGTCCACTTCCAGGAGGACAAAGGCATGGGCCAACTTTGGCCCTCACTCCAGGTGTTTTGGACTTGAACTCCCACAACATGTGTATGCAGATGATCCACTTCCAGGAGGACAAAGGCATGGGCCAACTTTGGCCCTCCCTCCAGGTGTTTTGGACTTGAACTCCCACAACATGGGTATGCAGATGATCTCTTGTGTCCACTTCCAGGAGGACAAAGGCATGGGCCAACTTTGGCCCTCCCTCCAGGTGTTTTGGACTTGAACTCCCACAACATGGGTATGCAGATGATCCCTTGTGTCCACTTCCAGGAGGACAAAGGCATGGGCCAACTTTGGCCCTCACTCCAGGTGTTTTGGACTTGAACTCCCACAACATGGGTATGCAGATGATCCCTTGATTCTGAAGTGTCCACTTCCAAGAGGACAAAGGCATGGGCCAACTTCGACAATCTCTCTAGGTCAGTGGTCCTCAACCTGTGGATCCCCAGATGTTTTGGCCTTCAACTCCCAGAAATCCTAGCAGCTGGTAAACTAGCTTTAATATCTGGAAGTTGTAGACCAACTCAATTGGGGACCCAGAGGTTGAGAACCACTGCTCTTGGTGTTTTGGACTTGAACTCCCATAACATGGGTATGCAGATGATCCCTTGATTCTGAAGTGTCCACTTCCAAGAGGACAAACGCATGGGCCAATTTTGGCCCTGTCTCCAGGTGTTCTGGACTTCAACTCCCATAACATGGGTATGCAGATGATCCCTTGATTCTGAAGTGTCTAGTTCCAAGAGGACAAAGGCATGGGCCTACTTCGGCCCTCCCTCCAGGTGTTTTGGACTTGAACTCTCACAACATGGGTATGCAGATGATCCCTTGATTCTGAAGTGTCCACTTCCAAGAGGACAAAGGCATGGGCCAACTTCGGCCCTTTCTCTAGGTCAGTGGTCCTCAACCTGTGGGTCCCAGATGTTTTGGCCTTCAACTCCCAGAAATCCTAGCAGCTGGTAAACTAGCTTTGATTTCTGGAAGTTGTAGGCCAACTCAATTGGGGACCCACAGGTTGAGAACCACTGCTCTTGGGCCTGAGGCTGTTAGGAATGGTGGTAGTTGAAGTCCAAAACACCTGGAGGACTGAAGTTTGTCCATGCCTGAGATGGATTAATACATGCTGAAGATTGATCCAAGAAAAGTAGAGAGAGGCTGTGAACTCGTGGCTGATATGCTGCATAAAATCACCTCTCTGGCACACAACGATGCTTGCTTTCCTGAAAAGGGGAGCCATTTTGGAGAACTAATAAGCCAGGGCAACCCTTCTTCACAGCTCCTACAAGGTCATCACGCAGGAGTTCATGAAGGTGGACATTGTCACTCTGCCCAAGGACGCCACCTTCCAGGAGGTCCTCAAAGTGGTCACCTCGACTGACGACCCCGAGTATCCAGTGGTCGACGGCGCTGGTAAACTGGGAACTCTGCACAGAGGGGGAAGAGCTTGGTGAAGGCTCCATGTACGAGGCCTTGTGAGGCCCATCTCTGCCCCATGAGAGCCCTTCTCTCCCTTATGGGACCACTCCCTCGACTTTCCCCACAGAGACCTCGATGCTCCTGGGGGTCGTCCAGAGATCCGAACTCATCCACTTCCTCCAGACCCACGATGAAGCTGCCGAGCCCCTCAAGGAAGAGGTGGGTCAGCCTAGCCACATGGCTGTGGGGTGCAGGTTGGAAGAACTTAAGGGCATCTTCTAGCAGCCTATTTCTAATCTCCCTTTTTTGGGCAAGGTTCTGGAGCGGGTGGTGGCCTCTCAACCCCAGGGATTCTTAGGTGAAAGTGACTATCTTGATCCATCGCAGTCTGGCTTTAGGCCTGGTCATGGAATGGAGACAGCTTTGGTCACCGTGGTGGACAACCTCTCCAGACAGCTAGACAGGGGGAATGTGTCCTTGTTGGTTTTCCTGGATATCTCAGTGGCTTTTGATACCATTGACCATGGTCAGCACGGGCTTTGAGATGGGCAGGGGAGGCCCTTCTCTTGGTCTGACCACCGTCCCAAGCGCGGTTGGTGGGAACGAGCAAGAGGGCCTTCTCTGTGGTGGCCCTCCAACTCTGGAATACCTCCTGAAAGAGATTAGGTGAACCCTCAGCCTTGAATCCTTCCAGTCCAGCGTGTAGCAAGCTTTTGGCTCTTGAGTAGGCAGAAATGGACCCACATGAGGTTGACACTCTGGAACTTCAGTTGTGAACTGGTGGCAGGTAGTCATTATAGATGATGATGGTTCCACCCATATGTTCCTTTTCACCCTTTCAGGCGCCATCTTGCCAGACGCTAGGCGAGGGATGCTCCTTCAGCCCAGTGACCCTGCAGCTCTCTCCTTGGACGTCTCTCCACCAGGTAAATGGGGCAGGGTGGGTGCCAACATCCCATAATCCCCTGGAACCACAGCTTCCCATTGGCAGCAGTGGCTTAACGGAGCCTCCACTTCCCAAGACATTCAAGGACAACCATTTGGGGGAGTGGAGAGTCTTCTTGTTCTGGTTGCCAGAGCTTTGTTTTGGCCTCATTCAGGTAAGGGGAGAAGATGTGTCCTGCGTATCCTTGAAGGGAACCTCAAGGGAGCCTCCAGAGGCGGTCACCTGCATGGCCCTGCTTAGATGCTGCTGTCTCCATGGAAACGGACAGCCTGGCTTAGAGATGCAGGAGACTTGTTAGAGAAGGAAGCAGGCCTCAAGGACCAGTTGTGGTGACCTTGCCCCCTTCCAGCTATTCTCAGCCCTCCCAAACTGACCTCTTTTCTCCTTCCTCTTCCACTGCAGGCTCACAACCTCTTTGAGATGCTCAGCCTCCAGTGGGCCTTCGTCACCCAACTGGGGAAAGTGGTGGGAGTGGTCTCCAGGAAGGAGGTAACTCACTCACTCACTGGATTTGGGGACGGAGTAGGGTGGAAGGAACATGATACACTTGGAAGTTGGTCTTGGAAGTTGGACATAGTCTTGAGCACCTTGGAAGTTGGTCTTGATTTTGAGCAGGACCAGGTTGGGCTTGCTTGCTTTCTCCAGTCTTTCTTCTCTTTCCAGCTCAGGAAAGCCATCGAAGACCTGGCCAATCCGAAGCCCACGAAGTAGGGAAAGAGTTCAATGGATGGATGGATGGATGAATGGATGGACTGGCGAAGGAGGCCTCCTCGTGGATGCCGGAGAGCAGTGCCAAGCCCAGCGTAGCAAGAAGGACAGGGAGCGCCGCTTCAGCTTGGTCCTTGCTCCATTTCCCAGCCCGAAGCAAAGAGCCAGGCGCCCTTTTTACATAACCGTGTATTGTTGTGCAATTATTTACTAAACGACAACCCCAAAACACCTTGTTTCCTCTGTTTACTTTGCAAAGTTGAGACAACGCAGTTGGGAGGAGAGAAAGTGGCAATTTTCTTCTGACAGCAAGGATACATTATCAGACAACGTTTACCTTTTATTTACAAATATACACATGAAGGGAGGCACCCAATAAAGACAATCTTTCAGACAGACCAGTGGTTCCCAAACTTTTTTGACCAGGGACTTCATTGACAAGGACCTCTTTGACCAGGGACCTAGTTGACCAGGGACCTCTTTGACCAGGGACCTCATTGACCAGGGACCTCTTTGACCAGGGACCTCATTGACAAGGACCTCTTTGACCAGGGACTTCATTGACAAGGACCTCTTTGACCAGGGACTTCATTGACAAGGACCTCTTTGACCAGGGACCTCATTGACCAGAGACCTCTTTGACCAGGGACCTCTTTGACCAGGAACCACTTTAACCAGGGACCTCATTGACTAGGACCAGGGACCATTTTGAACAGGGACTTAGTTGACCAGGGACCTCTTTGACTAGGGCCCTCATTGACGAGGGACCACTTTGACAAGGGACTACTTTGACTAGGGACCTCATTGACCAGGGTCCTCATTTACCAGGGACCTCTTTGACCAGAGACCTCTTTGACTAGGGACCTTTTTGAGGGTTTCACGAGACCAGTTGCTCTCATTGCCACGTGGTTTTGAGGCAATGGTGTAGTAATGGTAATGCTGCAGACCATTTTTCATTCTTGCAGACCACTGGTGGTCCACAGACCACAGATGTATGAGGAGAAAGCGTATCCTATCCTCCCACCCTCCTCCTCCATCTCCACCACTTGCAGACCATACTGAGCTGTTATGAAGGAAGAATCCATCTCCTGATCATTGCCAACCAGGTTCTCCAGAGCGGGCCAACTGCACTTTAGAAGGCCCAGAATCCCACAATAGCATGACTGCTGGTTGGAGGGTTCGGAGAACCATACTCCAAAAGAGCCATGGGAAGTCAAGAGTTGTTGATGGCAAGGAAAGGAAGCACTAGGAGTTGCAGGCCTCCTCCCTTCTCTTCAGAAAGGCGGGTCCCTCCCTCCTTGTTGGGATGCGGATGGAGGTTCTCGCAGCTGAACATGAAGGAGCTCCTCCTGGTTGTCCTTTCCCAGAACACATCACTGGCCAGCAAAACTCCCTCCCGCCTGGCCCTGAGCCCCCTCCCCTAGTTGTAGAAGACATCGTCCTCTGAGAGGGAGCTGCTGTCCACATAGCGGAGTGAGGGGGTGCTGCGCTGGAGCCAGAGGGGCCCCTGGGCACTCTCCTGGCCCACCTCCAAGGACAGCAGACCTGGTTCCAGTCCAGGCGCCCGAACAGTGGCCGCCAAGTCCCTCCAGGAGTTGGGCACCAATGGTCCGTTCGGGCCAAGGGACTCCCGCCTGGAGTGGGGAAAGGCCCGGAGACTTCCAGCAAGGCGGGGGCTGCCCAGGGCCTGTGGGCCGAGGAGGAGGTGCTCCTGCAGGCAGAAGTTCTCCAGCTCTAGAACAAGAAGAAGACAGAGAAAGAGAGTCTCAACCTGGGCAAGATATCCTGGAGAAACATCTAGGAGTCAGAAGAAGAAGGGGTCTCTTGCATTGAGAATTCAAGAGCCCTATGGTCAGGAAAGGACCAAACCACAACTAAGATGGAGTCCCAAGGGGGGGGGGGGGCTTGGAACTGAACGGGGTGGGAATGCAGCCCATGGATCCTCCACGGTTCGGGTTGGGCTCCCAAACTCCTCCTTTTTAATGGAGTCAGAAGCCACTTGAGAATGCACTAGAGTCTCACTTATCCGACATTCCATCTTATCCGACATTCCATCTTGTCCAACGCCCCGTTTCCTCCGGCATTTCCCCTTCAGTTAAAGAAGCGCTCCCCAATTCTCTCTCCATTCCCAAAACAGTAGTCTCGCTTATCCGACATTCCGTTTTATCCGACGCTCTTATCTGAATGACGCCATTATTTCCTCCAGCGCTCCCCAACTCTCTCTCCATTCCCAATAAGTGAAAAAGTCAAGACAAGGAGGAGGAGGAGGGAGGAAAGGGGGGAAAGGGGCAGGACCAGAAGTGGAAGTGTCCTCTCTCCTTCCCTCTGGGATTTCCATGCTCCTGTTCCCCTCTAGCCCTGGAGCATTGCCTTGCCTTAATTCTTTGAGTCCCTGTTGTTAGTATTCTAGGTGTCTAGCTAAGCGTCGGATGGGTAACAGTAGGAGACTCCATATTATCTGACATTTTCGTTTATCCGACATTCTGCCGGACTGTTTATGTCGGTTAAGAGAGACTCTACTATATACTGCAAGCTACTTCTGTATATAATTGGTTGTCTACAAGGACATTGCCCAGGGGACGGCTGGATGTGTCAGAGGGTTCTCTCATATCCCTGCATGGGAAGCTGGAGCTGACAGACAGGAGCTCACTCTGTCTTACTCATTCGAACCACCAACCTTCAGGTCTTCAGGTTAGTAGTTCAGTTGGCACAAGGGTTTAACCCATTGTGCCACCGCGGCTTCCTTCCTCAACTCCTGACACATAATAAGATCCCTCCCCACCAAGATCTCTCCTAGAGGTATGGCTCTCTGCCACCTATTTCACCACAGCCTGAAAGGGTGGAGAGCCAAAAATGGGGAGAAGGCTGGGGGAGGCACCTGGGATCCGGAGGGCGTCCTGGGAGGCCCCCCAGTAATGCAGCTCCTCTTCGTCCAGCGAGGACCAGGCGCTCAACGTGGCTTCCGTGATGGCAAACTGCTCGGCCACCCCTGCGGACAGAAGAAAGGGGTTCAGGATGAAGTAGGAAGGGGTCTCAGGGAAACCCCAGACATGGTCAAGCAAAGCAAGCATCTCTCACACAACCTTGGGCACCACCAGGACAGACACTCATTTGAGACGCACTTTCCCAGACTCACCAGCAGCGAAGCGGGCCTCCTTGAGCTCATCGCTCAGGTCTGCGTAGAGCTCCTCGTCCGGCAGAGGGGCTGCCCGTCCCACCTGGGGGGCACTCCAACCTTTCCACTCAATGAGGTGGGCCACACGGCCTTGGGCCATGGCTGTGGGCTTGGTGATGTGGTCCTTGATGGTCTGGACGAGGCCTGGGAATGGGGAGGGAGCGGGCAGAAGCAGATTGATTATTTATTTATTTATAGCATAAATAAATAAGGGTGCTCAGGGCAGATCACAGAACACACCAACAGCAAACAATCAATGCCGTTAAACAGACAAGATTGACAACAGGTATGTTGGTATTTTCCCCAATTTTGGCATTCTGGGGGTTGTGCTCGATTCTGGCCACAGGGGGTGGTGTTGTTCCATTCTCTATGACGAAGAGCCCTTGATCACTTCCTTCTTCCTTTAATCCCCAGTATTTTTTCTGTTATTGCCTTTTATGGTGCCATAAAATACAGTAGAGTCTCACTTATCCGAACTTTGCTTATCCGACATTCCATCTTATCCAACACTCTTATCCGACAACGCCATTTTTCTCCAGCATTTCCTCTTCAATTAAAGGAGTGCATTTCCCCAAGTCTCTTTCCATTTGCAGTCAGGCCATGACAAGGAAGAGGAGGAAAGAAAGGGGGGAAAGAGGCAGGACCGGAAGCGGAAGCGTCCTCCCTCCTTCCTTTCTGGGATTTCCACGCTCCTTCTGTATGGACGCCCTCCGGATCCCAGGTGCCTCCCCCAGCCTTCTCCTCTTCACCGCTCTAGCCCCGAGGCCTTGTCTTGCCATAACTCTTGGAGCCCCTGTTGTTATTATTTCTAGGTGTCTTGCGCCACATCGGACGGGTAACACTAGGAGGCTCCGACATTTTCGTTTATCCGACATTCTGTTGGCCCATTAATGTCGGATAAACGAGGAGTCAGGCGGCAAGGCAGAGAACCGAGAGCTGGCATGTACCTATTAGTCATGGACCTGATATTTTCCCATTAGTTTCATTCATGCTTTCATTTCGTTCCGTCCATTTGGATTGCACGAAACGGAAGTGTCCTCCCTCCATTCCTCTGGGATTTCCATGCTCCTCTTCCCCTCTAGCCCTGGGGCGTTGCCTTGCCTTAACTCTTTGAGCCCCTGTTGTTATTATTTCTAGGTGTCTTGCACTACGACATTTTCGTTTATCCGACATTTTGCCGGCCCGTTTATGTCAGATAAACGAGAAGGAGTCAGGCAGCAAGGCAGAGAACCGGGAGCTGACATGTACCTATGATATTTTCCCATCAGTTTCATTCATGCTTTCGTTTCGTTCTGTCTAGTTGGATTGCACAAAACGGAAAGGCCTCTTCTGAAAGGAAAATGCAATCGATCCGAAAGGCAGGTGGGCCTGCTTTTCGGATCGATTGTGTGGGGCCGAGCGCTAAGTAAGGAGTGCTCCCAAAGCCTGCGCCCATAGGCCTGGGCACTTTGGACCTACGGGTGATATTCCCCACCCCCCAATTAATGGGATGAAAGAAAACAGATATTTCGACTCCGAAAACAAAAAACGCAAATCTGACCTCCCGATTTTGGGAGACTCAGACGAAAATGGATTGGGGTCCGTCCCCCCCCCCCCCCCCCCCTGAAACCTGGGACACAAAACGGATAAGTCCCGAAAGCACATGACTAGTACCTACCCACCAGGGAGGAATTTGCCAGGGCCGTCACATTATAGCCGCGGCCTGAAGAGGAGGAAGCGGAGGAGGCCGGGTTGGGGCCAGAGAGGGTGCCGCTGCTGCTGCCCTCCAAGTCCTGGAGGCATTTCTGAGGGAAGCAAATGAGGAGGGGGCTCAAGAGGCTCTGCTTTTGTGTTCTCCGCTTCAGGGCAAGGAAGGGGGTGCGCTGCTTCTCTCCCACCCACTGAGAGACAGGAATGGAGTGGGTCCCGGCAGCTCCCACTTTTCTGCCCGCACCACATCCACCCAATGTTCCCTTTTCACCTCGTGGCGGCTTCCCTCCTGGGGGGCTGAGGAAGCAGGGTCCGGCTGGGGGGCGCCCATGGGATGTTCCTTGTGGGTGTTTGTGAAGAAGTCTGGGAGAAGAGAGAAAAGCAGGCCTCGGTCACATTGGATCCACCTGCCATGCGCTCTCGCGGGTCTCGTACCCTTAAGTTGTCCATTCACACACCTGTATCCCACTCAAGGGCTGTGAGGCTGAGGACGACGATGATGACGCACCTGGCAGCAGGTGGAACACCAGACGAGATGTCTGGGCCACCTGCTGCCAGGTGCGTCGTCACCATCGTCGTCGTCGTCACCCTCACAGCCCTTTGGCGGGATGCGATGCCAGTGTGAGTCAGGAGACACTGGCTCCCCGCTGCCGCCGTCTCTCTTTTGTCCTCCTTCCTTTGAGGACAACAAGGTGGTCCATGTCCTCCCTTCTCCCCATGGACATCTCCTTGGACTCCCTCCCCCTCTCCATCTTGTCTGTCTGCATTCTTCCTCCCCTCCTTCTCCTCTCTCCCCCCCCCCACAACAACCCTGTAAGGTAGGAGCCCAGAAGGGAGGGGAGAAAGGCCGGGCTCAAGGTCACACCCTCTGCCTTTTTGGACTCTTTCCTGGGGATTGAATGTGGGCTGGGGGTCTCCACAAGCCTCCTTTCTGCCCGCCTGGAGTAATGAGGTGCCATGGAACCTCCTCCCCAACACACACAGGCTCCCTTCCCTCTTCCTCTTCCTCTTCCTCCCTTCCCGGAGAAAGGAAGCTCCAGTACAAAGGACTTGGGGCTCTTTCTCACTTCGGAGGCTGGGCGCCCCCTCCAGTTGGGCATCGGGGGCACAGATAGGTGGTGTCTTCAAAGGAAGGAAGGAAGAAGGGAAGGGAAGAAGATAAGGTAAAGGAAGAAAGGAAAGCAAAGCAAGGG